TCCGTCCAGCGTATGTAATTGTTTTTAAATATAATTACAATAATTATTAAGAAATTGGTAACTTTATTATAAAAGTATGTAGGTAGCTCCTCATCTTTTTTTTCTCAAGTTTTGGTTTAAATAATATACCCTTTAACTTATTTTTTAAAAGATAATGAACTGTTTAGCTTTTTACCCACTGTGAAAAGTGTTATTTAACTGGCGTTCTTTTTGTTGCCATAGATTCAGTTCTGACTTTTTAGTTGGGAAAGAGCCTATTTAGGTATTTTCTCCACCTTTTAACCAACTTTGTTAAGTTACATTTTGCTAAGAAATTAATTTTCCCTATATTTTCAAATTGCTTACAATAAAGTAGCATACAATATCTTCAATACCTGTGGATCATTCCTATAACTGTACTTTTACTCTCTTGCTTATTTTCACGGTTGTGTTTACCAATTAAGGAATGACGATCTTATTTTATTTTTAAATAAATAATAAAATAATGTTTTAGCATATTGCTTTATCTTCTATTTCTTTTGGTGGTATTTTGCTGGTCTTTTTTATTTTCTTAGGTTGAATTATCGGTTTATTTTATCTTTTTCTTTAAAAATATTTGTGGGAATTATTGGTTTTATTTAAACTTTGTATAGTCATTTAGGGAAAAGTTTACAGAGCAGATATCAGTTTTATATTCAATGATTTATAAACTTTTATCCCACGTCCTCATGGTTTTTACTGTTTCCATCCCTTTTTCTTAACTAACCGCCTGTCCTTGGGTAAATGCTGCCTTTTAAAAGTAAATGGTTTTTCATTCTAACATGGAATTGAATTCAGCTTCAGACCTGGAGGATGACTGAGGCCCATAGTCTCTGATTAATAAACCACTCTCTTGTTTTATTGGGGGTTTTGTTCCACATGTTTCTCCCAATCCAGGCCCTTCTAATGTGATCCCTTTCAGAGTAGTTGGTAGTAAGGGGTAGCTGGCACCATCTAGTATTTCTGTTTTCACATTTGTGAAGATTAAGGTTAGCATGGTCCAAAATGCATGGGGATATTTATTTTATTGTATCTTTCCATTTTTATCACTCTTCCTTCCTCTGGGTGGGGAGAAATCATTTGCTCCTTAGATGACTGCTAATGAGTTGTATATATATATATATATATATATATATATTACATCTTTCTTTTTTACCTTATGGGTTTCAATTGTTTTACTATTGAAAATTTTATATTTCAAAATTTTAGTTTTTATGTTCTTTTGGATTTTAGGATAATTTAGAAAAATACTTCTTATTTAGTAGAATTTTCAAATTGTTGGGGACATCATATTTTGGAAATTTATAGCTTTAGTGGATCAAATCAGAGATTATGACCTATTAACTCTCTGATTTATAGAATTTGCTAAATTCCCTTTGCATTCAAAACATTCCTAACATTTTTAAATTTCTGAGAACACAGAGGAAAGGTTAATAGTCTCCGTAACATATTAAGTTCTTTAGATTTAATATTATGATTTCTAACAAGATACAATTGATGATGTGCACATACAAGCACACACTAGAAATGTAAGGTAAGTTCTAAATTAAATCCCTCAGAGATATATATTTCCATCAGTAGTCAGAAAGCAGAGATAAGCACACAGTGGTGGAACCTGGCTTGATTTCCAGAGTCACGAACGCGTGTAATTGCCACGATACTTTCCCAGTAGGAAGAATTCAACCTAGTTTGGGATTCTCTTACAGAATCAAATTGTTCTTATACTCTGGATTTGTGTATAAGAAAGGATTACACAACCTATCTCTGAATTTCAGTTTAAAAGAATACTTAATAAACATCAGACTTCTGGAGGCTGGAACCAAATGATGTGTCACCAATTCCTGCATCACCTGGAGAGAATCTAGTCAGTGTCTTGAGGCATCTGAACAATAGTTTGCTTCAAGCTTTTTAACACTCTGGAAATTTCATTTCCCTTAGTCTTCACCGAGTTTGATTTAACTCCTTTTTATTCTCCTATAGTTGTTTGGTGAGAAGGTAGATATATGGCCATTATTTTTTTTTTAAAACCAAACTACTTTCAAAGCACCACCCTTTAAATTAGTAGTTGAGTGCTTTTAAGTATTGGAGCTACCTTTATGTCTATAGAATGCTAAATACATATAATATTTACATAGATACATTTTAACATAGGAACAGAAATATAAAGTATGTAGGCCTAAATATAGCAAAAGATTAGCAAGATATCTATTGATGATTTCATCATCTCTATTAATAAGAAAAAAGTCCTTAGACTTTTTAAATGGAGAGATATATGACATTTATTAATTACAAAATTAAATATTGTAAGGATGCTTATTTCTTCCAAGTGGACATATAGATTCAATATAATTTTAATAAAAGTCCTAACTGGGCCCTGTTTTGTTTTATTCTGGGAGTGGGAAGGAGAATAGGGAGGGTAAATAATAAACATGAGAATTTGAAATGGAGTAGAAGTTCATGAACTTACTTATAATTTGCAGCACGATTTTTCTGATACTTTCAATTATAAATGATTATAAGTTTCTGTGCAAGGTAAAAGAGAACTACATACCCAGCTACCAACCAAAACTTGAGGTCCTCATCTATTTTCAGACATTCCAGAAGAAAGACTTAATGATCCACTTCCCAAAAAGTAGTCCTTAAAACCCATTACTGTAACACACACAGGGTTGCCATAAGCTACTTAACTCAACAGAAACTGGCTTACTGTCTTGACAAAAGAAATGTCTATTCAAATGGGTGCATAAGCAAATGTGATGAAGAAAGCTGATGGTGCCCAGCTATCAAAAGATACAGTGCCTAGGGTCTTAAAGACTTGGATATAAACAAGCGGCCATCTAGCTCAGAAGCAACAAAGCCCACATGGAAGAAGCAAACCAGCCAGTGTGTTCTCGAGGTGTCGAAGGGATCAGGTATCAGGCATCATCAGAACAAAAAAAATATTATTGTGAATGAGGGGGAGTGCCAAGTGGGGACCCAAAGCCCACCTCTAGGCAACTGAACATCCCCTTACAGAAAGGTTGCGGGGAGGAGACGAGCCAGTCAGGATGCAGTGTAGCAACAATGAAACATACAACTTTCTTCTAGTTCGTAAATACTCCCCCCCGCCCCCCCACTATCATGATCCCAATTCTACCTTACAAATCTGGCTAGACCAGAGGACGTACACTGGTACAGATAGGAACTGGAAACACAGGGAATCCAGGGAGAATGATCCCTTCAGGACCAGTGCAGAGAGTGGTGATACCGGGAGGGTAGAGGGAGGATGGGCTGGAAAGGGGGAACCGATTACAAGAATCTACATATAACCTCCTCCCTGGTGGATGGACAACAGAAAAGTTGGTGAAGGGAGATGTCGGACAGTGTAAGATATGACAAAATAATAATTTATAAATTGTCGAGGGTTCATGAGGGAGGGGGAGCCGGGAGGGAGGGGAAAATGAGGAGAGCTGATGCCAGGGACTTATATAGAAAGCAAATGTTTTGAGAATGATGAGGGTAATGAATGTACAAGTGTGCTTTATACAATTCCTGTATGTATGGATTGTGATAAAAGTTGTATGAGCCCCCAATAAAATGATTAAGAACAAAAACAAACAAAAAAATGAAGATGAGAAGAAAATATTCTGAAATTGATTGTGGTGTTGATTGTACAACTTTTCTTACTATGATGGAATGGCTAAATTGTGGATATGTATGAATTATATGGCAATAAAACTATATTAAAAAAGAGATATTATATTACAAATACACTTCATTGAAATCTAAAAAAATAAATCCAAGGGTGAAAAATAAGGTAACAATGGTCCTTTTATCTTTTTGTTCTTAACTGTGTAAATCTAATTAAAATTTCCTGTCAAAAATATTGTCTTCTAATTAAAAAAAACAAAATAAATGTCTATTATTGTAAACCTTAACAGTAAAAAGAGAAAGCCTACTCCTAACCTAGCAGATTTAAGAATCCTTGTATTATGTTAAGTATTAGTGATTAGACACTGGGTTTTTGGAGTGTGCTTTTGCAATATGAAGATAACAACCACGTCTATTTTTCCATGTGGCAGTTTGATTAGATGACTGACTTCCTAACAAGGTAACACATGATTCTTTAGAGAAATACTGCACTGTATTCCTCATTTCTTGGTTAGAAACCCCCCAAAAATAGACCAGAGTAGACCATCATTTTGAGAGTGCCATGACAAGGGAAAATCCATCCAGAAGATAAACACATGTGAGCAGTTATCCTTTGTGTTCTACAGAGCTTTGCGTAGATTGTGCTTATTATTATTAGTTTAATAAAAGAATTGATGTTGAATTCCAAGTCACAATGCATAAAGCTTGAATAAGTCACCTCTGTTTTAAACATGAAAATTTAGAGCAATCCCTTTGTATCATTTGGCTCTGGGATAAAGCAGCTGTCCTGTACTGAGTTAGAGACAAATTAAGGCCCCAAAAGTCATGCTGATGATCGATAGCTTTCCTGAAGTACACCTGTTCAGAGGACTTGCCGCTCGCATCATCCTACATGGTTCCGTGCTTCAGACTGAGTGAGTGCAATGAACCAGACCTTGGGAATGTTAGCCCAACAGCTTTTGCAGAAAAAAGACTCACAGGGTCAAAGTGCTTGTCCAGGGAGGGTATGGGTGTGTAATGGGCACTGGAAGGGGGTGCACTCACAGGTGTTTTGTATGTACGTGTATATGTGAATGTGTTTGTGTGCATGTGTCCACTCTACATACATTTGTACTCGTGTTTGTGGAGTGAGTGTGTGTAGGTATGCCTGTATATCTGCTCACGTGCTGTATATTTACATGTGTTTATAGTGTGTGTGGATGTATGTGCACAGGTGTGTAGCTAATTGCTTGCATGTGTTAGTGTGTGCATTGTGTATACATGAGTGTGTGTGCATGAACCCATGTATGTGTGTGAAACCATTCCCACAACCCACTCAATCCCTGTGGCTCTCTTTCCTTCTCCTCCTGCAGAAAAGCGGCTTTCCCGTGGCATCTCCCATGCCAGTTCAGCTATCGTCTCATTGGCGCGGTCTCACATGGCAAGTGAATGCAACAATGAGCAGTTCCCCTTGGAGATGCCAATTTATACATTCCAGTTGCCGGATCTTAGCGTGTACAGTGAAGACTTCAGGAGCTTCATCGAGCGGGACTTGATTGAGCAGGCGACCATGGTTGCTTTGGAGCAGGCAGGTGAGCGGCTCTTCTGGGTGACCATGGGTGGATGTGGCAGGCTTGTGGTCCTCGGGCCCACTGAGGACTGAGACTGGCCTTATGTATATCAGTGAGCAAAAGAAAAGTTGCTGTGTTCTCTAATGTGTGCAGAGTGAGCTAGGCAGTTTTCAGTCAGGAATCGGGAAGCTTGCACCAAGCTTCCTTTTGCTTGGATGCTCTCATTTTCCACTTTTAGCTCTCCTCTGTGAGCACTGACCAAAAGGTAAGACAGGCAGTGGGCTTTAGAAAAACACCAGAGACCTCTGTCATTCCTGTGTACATGAATGAGAAGACTAATACTTACCTGGTAAAGCTTTTCTCAGATAAATGATACATGTATTATATACCTGTTATTTGCTGTTAAACGATATGTGCTTGCATACCTGTTAGTCTCCTTCCTTCTCCAGTCTTTTACAACCTCCAGGATGAACAAACATAAAACTTGAGTTTACTTTCCTCCATTTCCTTAATGTTTCTTTACCATCCTAACTTTCCAATGAGGAAGGAACTCCGAGAGCAAGTCGAACTTCCCTTCTGGAGGGTTACTAAAGATAAAATATTTGGTTCAAACTAAGCCAGTTTCCAATAAGCCAGTCTAACTCGTGGGGACTGCATGTGTATCAGAATAGAAAAGTGTTCCCTACAGTTTCCAATGACTGCGTTCTCAGAAATATATCCCCCGGCTTCCTGCTGAAGAATCTCTGGGTGGATTTGACCCACAAACCTTTCAGTTAGCAGCAGAGCGCGTTAACCATTCGCCCCACCCAGGGACTCCATTGATTCAAAAACTTCTCTAAAACAGATTTCAGTTCTTTCTCAGGCAAAGAAATGCCTATTTCACTATAATTATATGTGTTATCTTTCCAAATTTAAACACAAAGGGCTTTCTCATACAACATATAGACGACCGCATACAACACATAGAAGACCTCAAGGCCTTTATTCCA